CGCATACAATCTTGTGGCGTTACGTTAATAACGCGATTGAAATCTTCGGAAGAGAGAGAAAAAAAAGCTCTATAATCTTTTATTACAAATGTCAAATAAAACATTGGCAATATTGTTTGATTTGGAATCACAAGAAAGTGGTGGCTCTCCTTCATTTATGTCACCAACCCTCTCCAAGAATCCACAACCAATCTCCGGCGATAACAACGGCGGTGATGTTGGTCGGATTCCGGTAGATGAGTGGCTGCCGATCACAGAATCAAGAAAAGGTAATGTCTATACGGCGACGTTTCATCTTCTCTGTTCCGGTATTGGTTTACAAGTGATCCTTCTTCCTGCAGCTTTCGCAGCACTCGGATGGTAGAAAACTCAACAAAATTTCCTCTGTTTATTCATTTATCAGATTAAAGAATCTTTTATTCGAGTACTAAGTTTTTGTGTTTTTTTTTTCCTCCTTAGGGTATGGGGAATGATAATTTTAACGGTAGGGTTTGTATGGAAGATCTACTCTATGTGGCTTCTTATTCATCTCCACGAAGCCGTACACGGAACACGTTTCAGTAGATACTTGAGACTCGCTATTGCTTCATTTGGTATGTATAAGTAAAACAATTCTATCAAAACTTTAAGAGTTTTGTCGTTTTTTTGAGTTTTGGATTTTATTGAAAACGGTACCGTTTTTGTTGTGGTTATGTAGGTTTGAGGCTTGGAAAGCTTCTTGGAGTGTTCCCTATAATGTATCTCTCAGGAGGAGCTTCTTCACTTTTGGTTATAACTGGAGGAAAAGCAATACAACAACTTCTACATATTATGTCTGAAGATGACACTGTGCCACTTACTGCCGTGGAATGCTTTGTGATCTTTAGCTGCTTCGCGGTGGTTATGTCTCAGTTTCCTAATCTAAATTCTCTCTTTGGAGTCTCGTTGATTGGTAGTGTTATGGCTGTGGCATATTGCACCATGATATGGATTTTACCTGTCACTAGTGATCTACAAAGGAATAGTGATTCTTACGCCACGAGGGATACAAGTTTCGATAATATTTTCAATGCCATTGGATGGATAGCTCTTGCATTTCGTGGGAATAACCTCGTCCTCGAGATACAGGTCTTTAAAAGACTTGCAAATTTATACATTTTCAAAG